GTTCAGGGCGCGCGGCTCCGGCCCTGGCGGGGCCGCGCCTCTTCTCTCCGGGGCTCTGAGCAGAGTGTGGGGGACCCCAACTTGTCCGCCTCGGGGTCCGCCCTGGCGCGCAGTCCCGGGCGAAGCCAAAGCCCCGGCGGTGATCATGGCGGGGGCTGCTGAGTGTCTCCCACTTGATTTCGTTTGAAAGTCCCGAGTGACTGTCCCAGTTAAGGGGAAGTTGAAAGTGAAGGGGGTGGGGACCGGTGAGAAGCGCTGTCTGCTGCGTGGGGATACTCGCTTCCGGAGCACACTGCGGATCATATTGGCGTCGCTTCCCAAAAGTCACTTTGATTCCACTTCGGTGAGATTCTTGTAAATCGCAACATTTAAATGGGAAGAGGCGAGTAAAGAAACAGGCAAGCGGACTCCACTTGCAATGAGATATACAGTTAATCACCCAGAAGAAACACCTCTCGGTTTTGAGCCCTGGCTAACTGCTTTATTGAGCCCCAGAGTTCTTTTCCAGTTTTCCTGTCTACCTCGTCCTCCGAGCGATGCTATCCTGGATGAAGCAGTGGTGCAGGAAGGACTCCCTTGCCTCAGGGTGGATTTATATTTTTGTTTGTTTCCGGTATCTTAACTAAATTTTGGGCTAGTTCTCCCCATTTTCCTTAATTTCTTTTCAAAGAAGACTTGTAAATACAAACATACGACTTTAAAATGTAACTGATTTCTAACTACAAGTCTGTACCAGCAAAATTTTCCTCCTATCCGTGAGTTCAGATTCTGTGATCAGTAGTGCTTTCAACAGCAACTTTGACTCTTAAGTTACCTTGAATAAAGATTCTGAGGTTTTGTTTGACCTTTCAAGAAGGTGACATAGGGAGCTCTGGTGGCTTGGAGGTAATTGCTCGGTCAACCCAGATGCTTGTGGTTCAAATCCACCATCTGTTTTGCAAGAGAAAAAGAAGCAATCCCTCACAGACGATTTACTGTTCTGAAAAAGGGTGCTCTTCCTCTATGAGTGGGTTCTAACTCGAAGGTACATAAAAACAGCAGGGTGTGACACACCTCCCCGGCTTTAAAATAACCACTCATTGCCAACTAGCAAGAACCTATGGCTGACCTTCTTTTGGTTCCAACTCGAGAGTACCTAACAACAACAAGAAGTCACCTTTGGTTTGGGAGGCTGAAAAGTAAAGGTGGCGATTGTCCATCCTGCTGACCAGCACAGGATTCAAAATATCAGACGCCTGGGCTTTGAGTTAGGAGTGCAGTTTGCTATTTGGACTGTGCAGTATTGGACCTACATGCTGTCTGTACATCGCATCAGACTGTTTAGTTTCTTGATTTAGAGCAGGACAATAACGAAAGATTACTTTCTGTTTTAACTACTATGGAGTGTAAACGGAAAATGTCAGTTGATTATCTATCCTGAGTGATTATCTCCCATAATTTCATGGGAATGTTATTGTTTAAGAGATAACTGTCAAGTGATGGAATGATGTTTTTAAGTTGGTACTTGGTTTTAATCATAATTTTGCAAGTTTCTAGCGGGTTAAAATAAGCTTTAATGTTCTTTTAGGAAAGTATCACTTGCCCCTTGTACTTAAATTTTCAAGAGACATTCTATCAGCTATTCAGGGTCTTGGCTAAACACTTCTGTAAATTCAGTTTGTAATTTATAGTTTTGTCCAACAGTCCTAAGCATACTCTAATATCAAGATGAATTGGAAAAGACTTTAAAATATGAAGTGTACCTGAAAGTAAACATTCCTAAAAGTTTTGACTCACTAGTGAAAGATAGAGTATAAATATCTTTTTAAAAAAAGTATTCTTTTTTAATTATTTTTTATTTTTATCCAGCATATTCTTCCCATTTAATTTTCTCATTTATTCATTGTTGCACGTTTTCCTCCCTGCCCACCCCCTCCCCATTTGCTTTTCTCTTTGAAAAGAAGAAAAGTTTCTTTCATTGTTAGATACAATCCCTCGCCCCCCCATGCCAAGTCCACAGGCCACTTTACTGTGCATTTCTTTTACTGGAATCTTGTGAAAATAATACCTAATCATATATTCCTTTTAAACAGTTCCCTCTCTCATCTCATCAGTTTCAATGCAGTATACATTATTTATGCCCTGTTTTCTTATGTTCCCCCCACCCTGATGTCAGTCCCATTTTACAACAGGGGCACTATGCAGTATTTGTCCTTTTGTGACTGAGATGTTTCATGCAGCATAATGTCCTCCAGGGTCACAAATTTTGTATACAATTTCATGAGTTCTTTGTTTTTCAATGCAGCGTAGTATTCCATTGTGTGAATATACCACAGCTTCTCTATCCATTCATTTATTGATGGGCATTTGGGTTGTTTCCAACTTTTGCTATTGTGAACAAAGCAGCAATAGTCATGGGTGTATATGCATCTACTTGGATGGCAGTTCTGATTTATTTAGGGTATAGTCCCAGTAATGGAATTGCTGGGTCAAATGGTATTTATATTTGCAACTTTTTGAGAAAGCGCCATACTGCCTTCCATAGTGGTTGTACCATTTTACACTCCCATAATAAGGGTTCCAGTTTCTCCACAACTAAATGCCACCCTTGCCTTTTGTTATTTGCCGTTCTGTTGAATTTTGCTATTTGGTATCTCATAGTTTTTTTGAAAACTATAAATCTTTATGGCCTTACAAAAAAAAATCAGCTACTCACATAAGTTAGCTCACAAATTTCATTGGCACAAATCTAGGTGTTGAACATTTAAAAATGTTTCTAACTGCTGTTTCTTTGTGTCATAGAATGTATAGAGACACACATTAGTAAAACATTTTCTGAAAGAGAACATATATCTCAGAAGTTTATTTCTGTGTACTGAAATACAAATGGAATTAACAGATTTTAAGTTACAGCAGAATTAATTCGTACTTTGAACTTGTATAGCCTTTTTGTTGTTGAGTGCTATCAAGTCAGGACTGACCCATAGCTGACCCTTCAGTGGATTTTCAGAGGCAGTAAATCACTCTGGAGGAGATTGCTCATCCTTCTCCCATAAAGTGGCTGGTGGATTTGAACCGCGTGTCTTTGAGGTCACATTACAGCTTCTTACAACTAGTAATTTTTATTTTCTATACTCAAATCATTAGCTTCTCAGTTTTGGGGTTTTTTGTTTTGTTTTTAAGTCCAACAGAGTTGCTAAGAAAGAGTGCTTATTTAATATGTGCCTTCAGAAAGTATGAAGAATGATGAGGGAGCATGTATATGATCTTTATTCTGTACCTCTGACATGATGAAGGCATTTCTGTCATGCTGTTAGAGCAAGAATTGTCCTGGGCTCTGTGGGCCTTTATGAGAGAAGACTGGGCAGTCTCCTCCTGTGTGATTTACTGCCTCTAAAAAACTGTTCAAGGGTTAGCTATGGGTCAGTTCCAACTCTACAGCACAGAGCAACAACATGGGCCTCCAGAAATTATGAATGAACATCAAGACATTCCTCGAACCCTCAATTGTTGTTTGGTGCTGTTAAATTGACTGACCTACAGCGACCTTGTAGACAATAAATATGAACTTTGTACTGTGCTATACCATCCTCACAATCTCGCTCATGCTGGAGCCCACTGTGCCAGTTCATTTCATTGAAGTCTCCACCTTTCCCAGCAGGATGTCTCTCTTCAAAGACTGGTTTCCTCTTGAAAATATGACATCAGGGTTGGGGTAAGATGGAGAAAAACCGGATAAATTATGTATACTGCATTGAAACAGATGAGGGAGAGAATAATTTAAAAGTGATATATGATAGGGTATTTTGGTTATCACAAGAGTCCAGAATTAAGGGTGCATAGTGGAGTGTATCTGGGGCGGTGGGAGGAGTGCAGGGGATTGTATACCAAAGAAAGAATTTTTCTTTTACTTTTCAAAGAGAGGCGTGAACTGGGGGGAGGGGGGGAGGGGTGCTGGGCAGGGAGAAACATGCAACAATGAATGACTCGAAATCCAAAATCTCTGGAAATGATCATTAAAATTAATAAAATAAAATTAAAAATGGCAACTTAAAAAAAATAAATTATGCTCAAATGAAGTGAACTCTCATGTATGCATGCCTGTTTTTCTGAGAGAAAGATGAGTGATCTCCTCCTGTGTGATTTACAGTCCCAGAAAGCCTGCTGGAGTTTCAGCTATGAGTCGGTTCCGACTCAGCCGATGGCAGTGAGTGAGTAAGTGATTTTTCTGGGAAGGTGATCTGTACCTGTTTTGTGAAAAGATATTCAGGGCTCAAAATATTTATGAGCTATCATCATTTTTAAAAAAAGTAATGGTGATGAAGGAGGAAGTGCAGGCTGCTCTGAAGGCTTGGTAAAAAATAAAGCCCCAGGAATTGATGGAATACCAACTGGTGTATTTCAGCAAACAGATGCTACATGTGCTCATCAAGTTGTACCAAGAAATCTGGAGGATAGCTACTTGGCCAGCTGACTGGAAGAGATCTATATTTATTCCCATTCCAAAAAAAGGTGACCCAACAGAGTGTGGAAATTATTGAAAAATATCATTAATATCACACACTAGCAAAATCCTGCTGAAGATTATCCAGAAAAGACTTGAACAGTACATTGACAGAACTACCTTCTGGTACAAGCTGGGTTTAGAAGAGGTCGTGGCACTAAGGATATTATTGCCAATGTCAGATGGATCTTGGCAGAGAGCAGAAAGTACCAGAAGAAATGTCTTTCTGTGTTTCATTAGCTATGCAAAGGCATTTGACTGTGTGGATCACAATAAATTGTGGCTAACCTTGAGGAAAATGGGAATCTCAGAACACTTGATTGTCCTTATACAAAACCTATACCTGGACCAAGAAGCAGACCTCAGAACAGACCAAGGAAACACTGCATGGTTCAAAATAAGGAAAGGAGTGTGCCAGGGATGCATCCTGTCCCCATACCTTTTCAATCTGTATGGAGAACAGATCATTTAGGAGGGAGGGCTTTAGGAGGAGGAGTGTGGCAACAAGATTGGAGGAAGACTCATTAACAACCTATGATATGCAGATGACACAGCCTTGCTTGCTGAAACTGTAGAAGACCTGAAGAAGCACTTGTTGCAAAAGGTCAGGGACTGTAGACTTCAGTATGGATTGAAGCACAACATTGAGAATAAAAAGTTTCTCACCATTGGGCCAATTAGCAGCACCATAGTAGATGGAGGAGAGATTGGACTCGTTAGCAAACAACTTGCTTTCTTGGAGTACACAATTACAGCTTGCTCTGATCAGTCAACATTCTTACCACCAGCAGTGAGGAAATCAAAAGATGAATTACATTGG